GAGCCGATACTGATTTTTAAGATAAAAAATAGACTGGGCAAGGTGGCTCACGCCTGTAATCCCAGCACTTGGGAGGCCAAGGCAGGTGGATTGCCTGAGCTCACAGGTTCAAGACCAGTCTAAGCCAGAGCGAGACCCTATCTCTAAAAAACAAGCAAGTATCGGACTGCGCCTGTTGCTCAAAGTAGTAGGGCACAGGACCTATATGCCAGAGGTGGCAGTTCAAACCCAGCCCTGGCCAAAAACTGCAAAAAAACAAAAAAACAAGCCAGTATAGTGGTGTGTGCCTGTAGTCCCAGCTACTTGGGAGGCTGAGGCAAGAGGATCACTTGAGCCCAAGAGTTTGAGGTTGCTGTGAGTTATAATACCGTGGCACTCTACCAAGTGTGACTGAGACTCTGTCTCCAAAAAAGACATAAACATGTCAAGGTATAACCCAGAATCTGTCCCAGTTCCCTCATTCAGCCACTTATGAGGCACAGCTCCGGGCAAACAAGAGACCTTCTATGCCTCTCAGCTCTGCTCTGTGGATAGACTCAGACAGAAAGACCCTGACTTACATTTGTTTAATGTGTTCACTTTGCACCAAAGCCCAACATTACTCACAACTAAGCAGCAGCCCACGTACCTACTCTAGCCTTCTTAGGACCCAACAGAGCCCAACAGACTGGGGCTGGACTGAGCCCAGGCTCTGCCACCATGGCCAGAGAGCAAGGCTTTCTATGGCCCACATGCTCACGTGCTCCAAGAATAGCACATAGCACGCTCCTACAGTGATGTGGCTATTCCTCACCCTACGTTCCTCTCCACAGAGAGCACCACATGAACAAGACTGCAGTGCACGATGTTCCAGGCTCTGCCTGTAGAGGGTCAGCCTTGTGTGCTTGGAGAGTACCAGTTCTCTCTTGGGACACGGTCAGGAACACAAGTTGGTCACTTCAGTGTGGTCAAAACAAAGGGCAAGTTTTCAAAATTTAAATGAAATTCTAGCAAACTAAAATAATTCAAAATTAAAACTCAAATCTATCTCATAGTTTAGGCCAGTATTACAAATCATCCCCCCTTTTAATTTATACTCTAACAAAAAGAATCTGGAACCAGGAACATTTGGGAACTGCATTTCATAATGCAGGTAGTTCAGAGTACACAGTCCTCAAAACCTAAGGGAACCTGGAACGCCCCCAACACCCCTGTCTCCACACCATCTGGGGCTTGTGAAAATGGCAGGATGCATGAAGACCACTCCCTGCTGTACCTGATGGTCCCCGTGGGGGAGGGGAGGGGACTGATGAGGTGGGCCATGGTGTCTGGAATGTTGATGGTCAGGGGCGAGATGTGCGGTTGCACAGCCTTCACTGGGGACTCGGGCGCCTCCTGCTTCTCCCTCTTCTCGCTGGACAGGGCAGTGAATGTGATCTTGATGTTTGTGCTCGGAAACCTGAACGTGCACCTGGGAAAAGAGAACCCACGGTCACCACCCAGCCAGAGCAGGATGCAGAGTCCCCAGGCTTCCCTGTGGCAAGGCAGCAGCGAGACTGCACAGGACTATCAGAAATCAGCTCTCCACATGAATCACTAAATGAATAAAGCCACAAACAAGGAGCTTTGTGACTTTAAAACACAAGTTAAGAAAGCACCATTCCAACCAGCTGGATAGGAAAATATAAAGTATAGGCTCAGGGCGGTGCCTATAGTTTAGTGGGTAGGGTGCCAGCCACATACACTGAAGCTGGCCGGTTCAAACCTGTCCCTGGCCAGCTAAAACAATAATGCAACCACAACAACAACTACAGCAAAATGGCCAGGCATTATGGCAGGTGCCTATAGTCTCACATACTTGGGAGGCTGAGGCAAGTGAATCGCTCAAGCCCAGGAGTTGGAGGTTGCTCTGAGCTGTGATGCCACAGCACTCTACCGAGAGCGACATAGTGAGACTCTGTCTCAAAAAAAAAAAAAAAAAAGAAAGTACAGGTTCAAAACTGACTCTAAATAGCACTTAATTGGCATTATCCTTTTATTTATTTACTTATTTGTTTATTTTTGAGACAGAGCCTCAAGCTGTTGCCCTGGGTAGAGAGCTGTGGCATCACAGCTCATAGCAACCTTCAACTCCTGGGCTCAAGCAAGTCTGCCTCAGCCTCCCAAGTAGCTGGAACCACAGGTGCCTGCTACAACACCCGGCTATTTTTTGGTTGCAGCCGTCGTTTGGTGGGCCCAGGCTGGATTCGAACTCGCCACCTTAGGTGTACGTGGCTGGCACCTTAGCCACTTGAGCCATAGGCACTGAGCCGCCATTATCCCTTTAAATAAATGCACAATTAATATGATGTAGGTCTCATAGATTAAAAACAATAAACTTGAATACCACTTAGTATGTATTATTTCCTTCAAAGTAAACTTACAAAAATATCTGCGTTGTTAAGAGCAGACAAGTTTGTGGCAGTTTCCTTAAATACTGAAGAAAAATCATTCTTTTTCTTAAAAAAAAAAAAAAAAAAATATCACCATTTTTACTGAGCAAAGAAATCACAGTGAGGGTTTGCAATGTAAACCTGACATAGCTTGTTTATTTATTTGATTGACTGATTGATTGACTGAGACAGCCTTTCTCCTTTGCCCTGGGAAGACTGCCGTGTCATCATAGCTCACAGCAACCTCAAACTCCTGGGCTCAAGGGATCCCCCTGCCCCAGCCTCCTGAGTAGCTGAGACTACAGGCGATAATCACAATGCATCCCTAGTTTTTCAGTTTTTAGTAGAGACAAGGTCTCACTCTTGTTCATGCTAGTCCTGAACTCTTGAGCTAAAGGGATCATTATGCCTTGGCCTCCCAGAGTGCTGGGGTTACAGTCATGAGCCACTGTGCCCGGCCCTAACTCAAGTATACTTTAAAAAAAAAAAAAAAAGCGTAATTTATGCCAAATGCCTTCAAAGAATAAAATTAAAAATAGTCCCACAGACTCTTAGAATCTCTGCATCTCAACTCTGCGCCCATGGTTAACTTTGTTTCCATGTCTGTGAGAGGCCCAGACAATCAGCTGCCACTGTGGACTCAGCTCACATGTGCTCTCCTGCCAGCAGGACCCTCTTCCACCGGACGGTCAGTCCTCTCTGCAGGCTCAGGGCATGAAGAGCCTGATGGACTGACCACCTCCTCTCATACCCAGGACACCACACTCCCTCCTGCCCCTCCACATCCGCTCCAGGGCAAGCCCTTGCAGGCCTGTGACCGTGAGCTCCAAACACTGGAACAACCCCCCAAAGCCCCACTTCTATCTGAGTGTCTCCCTGCACTCTGGACCCATCTCCAATTGCCTGCCAAAGGCTCCATCTGCACCAACACTAGGCATTGCAAACAAGACTCCTCTGCCCAGGCTTCCCTTGTAGGGAGCTTGGAGCTGCAGGATGGCAAATCCCTGAATAGAAGATGACCAGAAGCATGAATCCCAGTTAAGCAGCCCTGGGTGTTAAGCACCTGGGAGAAACTGTGCATCTCAAATCACAAACAGCTATGTGGCAACACTGCAACAGTGGATAGATTCAAACTTACTTGAAGGGACCTAATAAAAATTAAATTATCTGGCGGCACCTGTGGCTCAAGGAGTTAGGTGCCAGCCTCATATATCAGAGGTGGCAGGTTCAAACCCAGCCCTGGCCAAACACTGCAAAATAAATAAATAAATAAATAAAATTAAATGTTCTTTACTTGAACAAATACTAACAATTCTGTCTAGGCGTGGTGGCTCACGCCTGTAATCCCGCACTCTGGGAGGCTGAGGCAGATGGACAGCTTGAGCTCACAGGTTCAAGACCAGCCCCAGCAAAAGTGAGACCCTGTCTCTACTGAAAAAATAGAAAATCTGAGGCAAGAGGATAGCTTGAGCCCAAGAGTCAGAGGTTGCTGTGAGCTATGATGCCATGGCATTCTACCCTATGTCTCAAAAAAAAAAAAAAAAAAAAAATTAACAATTTTAACCTGATTCAATGTTGCAAATAGCCTTCTCCCAGCCTTTCTCTTCTCTTTCCATACTCACTGCTTTCTTGCTGGAATGAAAATTGTCACAAATGAGATGCACAGAATGCAGTCCAGAGTTATGAATTAACAGACCCACAAACAAGCTCTAAGGACTCCACAGATCTGTTCTGCAGTTAGGAAGCCAGGCCTCGCCCCACGCTTCAGTCTTGACTAAGCTCATATGGACCTGCAGAAATGAGTCAGACTCAAGTCTCCAACTAAAAGGAAACTTAAAGTTAGTGACAGTTCTTTATGCAAAGCAAGTTCAACCAACTAACCAATCTGTCAAATTATTCCCTACAACCAGCTTTTAAAAAGTACTTCAGGCTCGGTGCCTGTGGCTCAAGCGGCCAAGGTGCCAGCCACATACACCTAAGGTAGTGGGTTCGAATCCCCAGCCGGGGACCGCCAAACAACAATGATGACTGCAACCAAAAAAATGGCCAGGCGTTGTGACGGGCGCCTGTGGTCCCAGCTACTTGGGAGGCTGAGGCAGGAGACTCGCTTGAGCCCAGGAGTTGGAGGTTGCT